ATCTCACCATGGTCGAGTTGTTAGGAAGCAGATTTCCTGATGTTATCAGACTGGAAGAGTCGATTCTAGTTTGCGACACGTTTGGATAGTACCTGAAAACTAAACCATGGGTTGACTCAAGGCTTGTGAGTGAAAATGGGCAGACAGAACGCATGGGGGCCGTCGATAGCTGTGCTAGCACGAAATCACATGTCATCGTGGCTGAGGGCTTGAGCGTACTGGGCTGGTTCAAACTGTTGGTCACGTTAGATAACATGCTCTTTCCCAGAAGCTGTAACGCAGCACATTTGCAGTATAAACCACAGATGGGTTCTGTAAGTGTTGAATAAACACAAATGCGACTAAGCAAGAGAGCTATCCTCGAATACGAATGGCCAGCTATACATACATATACATAAATGCCTAGGATGCGGTATGTCTGTGAATAAGGCAACTTAATTGTTATATGGGGATGACGAAAAATTCCAACAGCAAGAATCAAGTTAATGCAGCAATGTAAGCCGAGCTGCGACCTCTTCCAGCTAAACAATCGAACTCTCTGCCTTCGGGAAGAGAGCAACCCGGAGGAGGCTCCGCTGAAGGGCAGAGCGTCGTTCGGGGAGGTTGACTGAACCTGAACCCGTTTATACGGGTTGGAAAGGGAATATTTTTAGCCGAGCCTACGGACTCGGAGAACCCACGTTAAGCCCGACCTTGTGCCACATGCAACCCTCGTGGGGGTGGGGGTGGCTAAATATACTAACCTGTAAGCCAAAGTACGTCTCGGTTATGCACAAAAGAGAATCAATAATGACGAATTGACAGGCATAATCAGGTGAACCGTGTTCCACCAATGAAATTCACGCGAATAGTTCAAAGGTCATTTTCGCAGTTCACACTTAATTATCAGGTCACGGCCATAAAGTGGGTAAGTGAATAAATACCAACGACGCCTTATAAACAAACGTCTAAGCGAATTAAGAGACTGAAAGTGGGTATTATTATTGTTTACAGACACAGGTCAAAGTTTGTGTTTGCAGTAATCCCCTTATTATCAGATATTGCGCAAAATGTGTTAAAGAATATGATGTTGAAAGGAGGGACACTATAATCATTGGCGGTAATAAGGGTGGGAGGAAAATGAGTAAATACTAAGGACGTCGTTTACACCAAATAAGACGCTGAAAGGGGAGAAGATCATTGATAGCGTTCATGCCCACATGTCAGTTCACCCCATGTTATAACGCCATGGGAGGAGTAAAGTTTAATCTGTTTAATCAAATAAATAGCAAATTAAAAGCGGACAAACATGACAAAACATTAATTTAAAGCAATCCCTTAAACATGGGTGATAGTCTTGCCAATTTTATCAGTTTTATCAAATAGCACAAGTTTCATTAGTTTAATCAAATAAATCCTAAATTTAAAGCAATTAACTTTTATACAAAATGTGATTGAAATATTCCTTGAAGCATAAGTAATGGTCGTGCAAAATTTGGATCGAATCTATTGAAATTATTACGGAGTCGCTAACTGGGTGCCCTGTGATTGGAGGAAAAACAACCAATCACTGGCTACCTTTTTAGACTTTCACCAAATACCCATGTGAGCGGTTTTTACAAACGCTCTTCCTCTTTTGCTTGTTGGAAACCTCAGAGACAACACGTTCCCCATCTTCACTCCGTCATCTAAACATCAGGACACGTGTGAGGATTTCAACAGCAACTGAAGCACAGGAGTCAGGACTATTTTCTTCAACCAAGCCAAACAGGAAAGATAAAACTGTTATAAGGACGCATTTTGCAGATAAGTCCCGCAAACCGACTGTTTGCAATTTGAAACTTTACTTCTGTTTTCCTACAAATACATGTTTTTTCATACATTTTTCAACTGTGTTTGTGTTCCTTTCTTCTTGCCGGCGTCACAATATTTTTGTTACCAATATAATTGGGAAAATCCCAATAAATCGGTTACAAACTGCAGAAATTAATGACTAAAAAGCGAAATTTGCAGTTATTCGTGGATTTTTCGCGATTAACGCGTATGACCTTAGAAACATTAATCAAAACAATTTTTGTTTCCTAAGTAATGATCGTGTCAAATTTGAATGAATTCGCTTGAACATTCAGGAAGTTATGGGGCAAAAACAAAAACTGGTTTTCTAAACAGTTTTTCGTTACACGTGGGGGAGGGGATCCGAAAAAAATAAAGTTGGTTTTGACAAAATTTCTAGCATAAGCTATCAATGTGTCAAGTTTGAGAGAAATCGGTTGAAAAATGTGGAAATGTATAACCACCATACACATACACAGACATCTTCTCTATATATATATATATATATATATATATATATATATATATATATAGAGAGAGAGAAGAGAGCAACTATTTCTTTCATTCATTGTTTTCTTTTCTTACTTTTTTTTTTCTTTCTTTTCCTATATTATCTCACTTCCACTCTATCTTAACATTTTAAAAAAATCTTTTCCATGTTTTTTTTTTTCGTCTTTTCATCTTTATTTCTATTCTGTTCTTTTTCTCTTGTCTTTTTTCTTTACATTTTCTTTTTCAATTTTGCACTTTCTTCCCTTTCATTATCTTCTGTTTATTACTGCACCGTTTCTCTTCATTTTTTTATGACACATCTTGCTTCTTTCCTTTGTTTGTTCGTTCGCTCGTTCGTTCGTTCGTTCCTTCCTTCCTTCCTTCCTTATGTACATACTTACTGCAGTTCTTTCTTCTTTTCTCTTCTTTGTTTCTTCCCCTTGCTTGTTTGATTCTTTCTTTCTTTCTTTCTTTCTTTCTTTCCGTGATTAATCTACTCTGTTTTTAACATATCAACCACTTTTTCATTTTTTTTTCTTTTTATTTGTCTTCCTTTATTTATTTCTATGGTTCTTTGTTCTTTCTTTCTTTCTTTCTTTCTTTCTTTCTTTCTTCATGTATGTATGTATAGATTTATCTAAGTCTTTATGTGTTATTTATTTATTTCAGTGATTAATTTACTCTTTTCAACATATCGACCACTTCTTTCTTTTTCTTCTTCCTTTATTTATTTTATTGATTGTTTGTTTGTTCTTCTTTCCTTCTTTTTCTTTCCTTCCTTCCTTCTTTCTTTCTTTTTTCTTTCTTTCTTTCCTTCTTTATATATTTCTTTTTTCTTTCTTTCTTTCTTTCTTTCTTTCTTTCTTTTTCATACGTAGTATAAATATTGACAACTATATTACTACTGTAGATATACTACAAGAAATAGCTTTTCTCTAAAATAAAATGATTTCAGAAAGATAATTATCTTGAGATTGTGAAATAAATTAGGAATTGGTACAAAAAAGTCAATTTATTTATGAGTAAATTCAATATAAAATATCACATCGAGCGAAATTTTGAGATAAAAACAGAAAAGACAAGGAATCTAATCTGGTAACACGTATATTTCGTAAAATATTCTACTTTCTTACAAGGAGTGCTACCATCTTCAGCAAAACAAAATTTATGTATGAAGAAAATCAAAACGCAAAGCTCTTCATTGAATTAAGTTATCAGTTATTCTAATCAAAAACCTAAGAAAATGTTTGGAAATGTTTGGGTTTAATTGATTTAACGTAATTACGAAATTGGTCTTAAATATTTAAATTACCAGTTAAACAAATTTTGTCACGATCTAAGACTTGAAATTGGTTAAACATGTTTTTAAAGTTCAAAAGCTTGATTAACTCTAACAGTATTTACTCGTTAAATTCCATTGGTGCACACATGAGCTGAGGAAGTCTGCGAATTTCATCCTCGCTTAACGACATTAATTGTCGTTTATTAATTACAGTCAATTTTAGTGTCACAAATACTGAAACTAACAATTTTGGAATGCTTTTGAACTTATATATCATCATCACAGAGATAGATAGATAGATAGATAGATAGATAGATAGATAGATAGATAGATAGATAGATAGATAAAGACACAGCTATAGAAAAACATAGACGAGACCGAAAGTGAGTGTGTGTGATAGATAGTAAGGAAGGAAAAGTGATAGATAGATAGATAGATAGATAGATAGATAGATAGATAGATAGATAGATAGATAGATAGAAAGAGTAAGAAAGGAACGAAAAGTGATAGATAGATAGATAGATAGATAGATAGATAGATAGATAGATAGATAGATAGATAGAGTAAGAAAGGAACGAAAAGTGATAGATAGATAGATAGATAGATAGATAGATAGATAGATAGATAGATAGAGTAAGAAAGGAACGAAAAGTGATAGATAAATAGATAGATAGATAGATAGATAGATAGATAGATAGATAGATGAATAGAGTAAAAAGAAAGGAACGAAAAGTGATAGATAGATAGATAGATAGATAGATAGATGAAGATAGATAGATAGATAGATAAATGAAGTAAGAAAGGAACGAAAAGTGATAGATAGATGATAGATAGATAGATAGATAGATAGATAGATGGAGTAAGAAAGGAACGAAAAGTGATGAATAGATAGATAGATAGATAGATAGATAGATAGATGAATAGAAAGGAAAAGAAAGGAACGAAAAGTGACAGATAGATAGATAGATAGATAGATAGATAGATAGATAGATAGATAGATAGATAGAGTAAGAAAGGAACAAAAAGTGGCAGATAGATAGATAGATAGATAGATAGATAGATAGATAGATAGATAGATAGATAGATAGAGTAAGAAAGGAACGAAAAGTGACAGATAGATAGATAGATAGATAAAGAAAGGAACGAAAAGTGACAGATAGATAGATAGATAGATAGATAGATAGATTAAGAAAAGGAACAAAAAAAGTGGCAGATAGATAGATAGATAGATAGATGAATGAATAGATAGATAGATAGATAGATAGATAGAAAGAGTAAGAAAGGGAACAAAAAAGTGGCAGATAGATAGATAGATAGATAGATAGATAGATAGATAGATGAATAGAGAAAGGAAAGGAACAAAAAGTGGCAGATAGATAGATAGATAGATAGATAGAATAGATAGATAGATAGATTAAGAAAGGAACAAAAAGTGACAGATAGATAGATAGATAGATAGAGTAAGAAAGGAACAAAAAGTGACAGATAGATAGATAGATAGATAGATAGATAGATAGATAGAGTAAGAAAGGAACGAAAAGTGACAGATAGATAGATAGATAGATAGATAGATAGATAGATAGATGAAGTAAGAAAGGAACGAAAAGTGACAGATAGATAGATAGATAGATAGATAGATAGATAGATAGATAGATAGAGTAAGAAAGGAACGAAAAGTGACAGATAGATAGATAGATAGATAGATAGATAGATAGATAGATAGATAGATAGATAGAGTAAGAAAGGAACGAAAAGTGACAGATAGATAGATAGATAGAGTAAGAAAGGAACGAAAAGTGACAGATAGATAGATAGATAGATAGATAGATAGATAGATAGATAGATAGATAGTTAGAGTAAGAAAGGAACGAAAAGTGACAGATAGATTAATAGATAGAGAGATAGTAAGGAAGGAAAGAAATGTGATAGAAAGAAAGAAAGAAAGAAAGAAAAAGAACAAACATATAGATAGATAGATAGATAAGGAACATAGCTAGCTAGCTAGATAGATAGATAGATACTTAAATACGTAAATTTAAAAAGGTTTTCACGTAGTGAATTGGACGTGTAAATAGCAGAAATTGAATACCACAGATAGATAATATTGAATTAACATGGACGGGCAAATAGCATAGATAAACGATGATTAAATGTATTTATTTAGTTATTGCTTGACTTATGCAGTGAAATAACATTAAATTCTTTTCGTTCTCTGATGGACTATATCAAGACAAATGTAAAGATTTTATTTTTCAACACGTATTTATAAAAAAAAAAGTAAAAAGTTTGTTAGTTTTTTCAGAATTTAAAAATTTAAGAACGGCCATAAATATACATCGGTTAACTGAAAAGTCAATGTCATTTCTGGAAGTTGCTATGTGTTGAAAATTAAAGTTAAATAAATAAAAATGTACAAACTTTTTTATTATTAGATATTAAATTCAGTTAGCCTGGTGAATATTTATGAGCTTTTGTAAATATAAATGTTTAAAAAAAAAAGTGCGACATTTTTATCATTTTGTTTAAAAAATATTGTTGCATACAAATATCCTTGAATTTCCATTGATAATGTCCATCAGAAGACGAAACGCATCGGCTGAGATGACTACAATAACTTTTTATTTTATTTTTATTCATATATATATATATATATATATATATATATATATATATATAACATTTCGAAGTATGAGGGTCAAGCAGCTCAGTTCCTAGTTACAGACAGCCCAGACACTAGCACATATGATTTGGTTATAGTGGTGATGGGTGTGTGCAGAACAACCCACACTTTTTGAATACTGTGACCTGGTGCACTACGTACCACAAGGACTCCAAACGATCCTCCGCAGATTTTGAATTCAGAGTTTTTTCATCTCCCAGTCGGCCCTGCTATTTTATTTATCCATAGATGAAGGAGAGAAGAGGAGGATTAATACCTTTCCCAAGGGTGTTATATATATATATATATATATATATATATATATATATATATATATATATATTAGTTTTTAAAAACAAGGAATGCATTGATTTTAATTTTAAAAGTCTCTAGAGCCCTTTCAGCCAACATCTCATCAGGAGACAATCGTTGGATCAGCGAAAAGAATATTAACGACAATGAAGAGAACGACTATTTCCCCTCCCCTCGTTACAAGTATATATACTTGTTTGTTATTTTAGTGTGTTTCCCCCTCTTTTTGCTCTTCATTATCGTTAATATTCTTTTCGCTGATCCAACGATTGTCTCCTGATGAGATGTTAGCTGAAAGGGCCCTAGAGACTTTTTAAAATAAAATCAATGCATTCCTTGATTTTAAAACTATATATAAATTTTACCTCCAAACATTTGTTTATATATATATATATATATATATATATATATATATATACACAAGCCTGTTTCGCTGTATCACTCAGTGTGGTTTGATATCCGATTGCCTCAAGCTGGGATCGAAACTCGACCGATTTAGCATTAGTCAGAGACTTTATCCTTATTTCCATTAGTTCAAAAGTTGTTTTTTTTTGCATAGTCATGATTGCGTTGTGTTTTTATAACAATGTGAATTACGTCTACTTTCCTGCACATTCGAGTCTTAATAAAAGAAAAAGAGGTGTCTACTAATTATTTTTTAAACATTTCGACCCAAACAGTGTTACTGGTTGTTAGAGAATATAAGAAAAAATACATTATTAAGAAAAGAGAAGAAAGAGAAAATTCAGAAAACTGAAGCTAACAAGTGACATTGTATTTAAATGTTTGAAGATCAAAGTTGACTTGGAAGCAAGAAGCCGAAAGAGAGTTCCACAAGCGAGAGGTGCGAGAGAAGAAACTCTTAGCATCTAAATTACAGTTAGATTTAGCCATTTCAACTGTAAAGTGATGAAACCTTGCCGTCAATCTAGTACTGTGCTTAAATTCATAAATCTATTTACTAAAGAAGAAAGTTTATTAGAACAATTACCATGCAATTATTTATAGAAAAGTCACAGAGAAGCTACATTACAGCGGTGAGAAAGTAACTGAAGGCTTGATGCAAGGTCAGGAGTAATACCATCGTAAATTCTTTTTTGGATTTTATCAATGACCTCAAGGACACATGGCACAGTGGATAAAGGCGTTTGTTAGATCCAGTGACAGGACCCAAAGAGTTCAATACCTGGTTAAGGCGGTGTAAACTTGGAGAGGGGGATTAACAGGAGATGACTGATAACTGACATCCATTAGACATGGCATGTGGAACTTGAACAGTCTACCCAAGTGAGCGAAATAAAGGATTCATTTCAACATTCCAACCAACTGAAGAAGGCCGGAACGCACAATGGCCGAAACGTTGTGATAAATATGGCGACAAAGATGAGAATAGTCCGAATAATACAAATATTGTACATCTCATCTCAGAAATATAGACAGATAATGATCTCTAAATATATAGCTGGGGAACCTTGATCAGATGTCGCAGCAATTTTTCAAAGCATGGATCAATAATCGTTGGGTTTCTATTGCCTCCTTACATTTTCCAGAAAAAATTAGAGGGAAAAATGTTGTTACGATATTTAATATTGTTTAATTTCATTTGGTGGTGGTAGAAACATGATTTTCAGTAGTTTTCAGTTGAACCAAAATAGAATTTGACCTCACCATCATGTTTGATGCTAGCTCTATAACTTATACCTGTAGTTATGTACTTGTCGTTCAGCGGTAGATCTTATTTTTTCGCCAGTTGCTTTCTTTAATCGTGGGATTATATTTTTCTTGTAGGTTGGTTAAATGTTTTGTTTAGTATAATATTGTTTTGCTGTGTCAATATTTTAGCACAACTATAGCTAACTTTATCGTTGTTTTTATTAAAAAACTTTTTTAGCCTTGGGGTATGGCTAAAATGCTTATGGATTAAATGTGTATATCAAACTCGTGGTAATAACGGCAAATCTCGAGCTGTGGCTCTAGATATCTCGAAGGCGTTTGACGGCGTTGGTCGTCTACGTAAGCTCCAGGGTTATGCTATTACTGGACGGATGCTTGATTTAATCCAGTTGTTTTTATCAAACCGTGAGATCGTTTGAAACGGGTTCGCTTCCAGATCTTTTCACACGAGGGCATGTGTCCTTCAAAGCTCTCTCGGATTCTACGTCTTTCTGATCTTCACCAATGATCTTCCTGATGTCATCAATTCCCAAGTTAACATTTATGCTGGTGACACTACCGTTTACTCCTATCTTAATAGCAAATCTGCCGGAGCGGACGATGTTAACCTGGCCGCTGCTCTTGAAAAGGACCTACAATCTCTCGTGAAATGGGGCAGGAAATGGCTCGTAAGTTTTAATACCTCCAAAACGAAACTGCTATCATTCAAGCACCATAGAGAATCTTTCCTGCCCGCCATCAGCATGGCTGTTGCTTTCATCATGCAGAACAACACACTTCTTCTTCTTAGCCTCACGTTTTCAACTGACTTGTTGAACTACATCGAATCAATGGCTGTATCTACTGCAAGGATAGTTGTGTTACTGTGTCGTGCCAGAAGGTTTTTCTCGTCATAGTCTATCTTTCACATTTACAAATCTATTATTCCTCTGTGCATTGAATACAGTTGCCATATCTGGTCACATTCTCCTGATTCATATCACAAGTTTCTTGACAAAATGCAAAGAAGGATCTGCAATGTAATCGATGCTAACTTGGCATCTCGTCTTCACTCTCTTTCTCACCGACGTGTCGTGACTTCCCTATGTCTTTTCTACAAATATTTTCATGGCAACTGCTCACACGACCTTTCTTTCCTGGTGCTCAGATTACCTGAGTTTAAATGTGCTACTAGATCGACATCTAGATCCTGCATTTTACTGCTGAATTCGTTAAATATAACCGACACTTCTACACCAACAGTTACTTTTCTCGAATTTCCCGCCTGTGAAACCTTTTTCCGTTTCCTTTCCCTGATAACTACAATCTTCAAAAATTTGAATGCTACGTCAATCGCCGTCAATCTTCTTGAAATCCGTTCAGCTTTTATCCTTTCTTCGGTACCCCTTATACCCAGGCTTTTCTCCTACCTTTATTCTTTGTAACCCCCTACGTAACAGTGATATTCCAGCCTTGCTTGGGGTGAAATGATTAAAAGAAAATAAATAAAATAAGCTTATCAAGGGAGGTAACTTAATTTATATGCGCTGAAAGAAATTAAAATTTATCTATTTTAAACATTGCTATTACGGTTATAATTAAAAAAAAACAACTTAGGTATTTTATAAAGGTTCTGCTATAGACATTTTAAAACATAATCATAATTAATAGTATTGGCAATAATTTTTCTTTAAAGGGCTTCAAGATTTTGAAGTTTTTGTTTTTAATTTTTATGGTGAACTATACTTTTATTGCCAATTAATATTTTTTCTCAATCGTGAATGTGGAAT